GGGGTGCGGGGGGCGCGGGGACAGCCCGGGAGGGCCGGGGGCTTGGGATGCGGTGGGATCCGATGGGGTGGGATGGGACGGGACGGGATTTGGCGGGGGGATGCCGCTGTGCCCCATCCCGGGGGGATGCTGAGCGCCCCGCTGTCTCCGCAGGGAAAGTGGAGCTGCACGGCAAAGTGATGGAAGTGGATTATTCCGTGCCCAAAAAGCTCAGGTAACCCCGCCGCGTCACCCCCAGACTCCCCTCGATGCCCGTGTCCATCCCGGCGGGACGGGGGGCGCTCCGGGAGCTGGGATGCGGGGGACGGGGGGGGCGGGGGAGCCCCGTCGGTTTTACTTTCGCTCCGGAGCGCAGCGCGGCGGGGGAAGGAGCTGCCGGCCCACGGCCGCGTTCCCACGGGTGGGCACCCCCGCCATGCCCCCTCACCCCACGCTCCCCACCGCTCCCGGGGAAAACAGCCTCTTATTTAGCAGGAAAACACGAGAAAACCCCTTTCTTCCCACTTTCCGCGCCGCGGACGGAGGTTTTCCCGGCAGCGCAGCCACCCGCACCCTTAAGCTTATTATTTTTAGTCGGCAATTAATCAGTTTTCCCTCTCCAAACACCTCATCCCCCTTTATCCAGCCGGAGAACCCCCAAACCCGAAGCGTTTTCTATTTAATGCATCGCGGCGAGCGCGCCCTCTCATTTCCATCAGGTGCCCGAGGCCGGGCTGATGGGCGCCCGCGTTCCGCAGGGAAAACAAACCCCGGGACCGTGTGGCGTAGCCTCATCCCGAGGTTTATTCCCCCCCGTCATGTCTCGGGATAAAAGGGAACAAAAAAAAAACCCATCGGCTGCTCCGGGCGGGTAATTTGGCGCCGCTCGGCGCGGAGGCTTGGCCTGGGCTGGGAGGTGGGGTACGGATTTGGCCCGGGATTGCTGCTGGGGTATTAATTTGGAAATGACGGGGGGGTTGGAAATGCTGTTGTGTAATTGAGGCTTACGGGGGGGGAATGGCTCGTGCCCGGCATCACGTGTGCCGGAGTGGGATTTCGTCTTCGGCAGGGATCGCACGTTCCCTACCTTCAAAAAAGCCTCCAAACGAGCCCCCCAGAAATCCCCAGGTGTGGCATTTCTGAGCTGAACCCCTGCAGCAGCCTCAGGTTGGGCTGGCTGCGACTTTGGAAGAGGGATGGAGCCAGAAATCGGGAGTTTGGGGCGATAGTACGGAGCCAGGGCTCGACCTTTACCGTGTAGCCGGGGATGTAAACAAGGAATTCATCTTTAAATCCTCCGTCGGAGCTGGGGTGCCCCTGGTTTTCCTCCCGAGTTTTAAAATTAGTAAAAAAGCCATTTAACCGGCCCAGAAATAAATACTGATTTATTTTACATCGCTCTGTGTTCAGCTGGCTCCAAGTTTTCTATTCCCAAGTTTCTTCCGATTATTGAGATCTAATTTAAACCGGTGTCTTTTTATGCCTGGCTTAAAAAATCTGCCCTGCTAATTTATATTAATATCCCCAGTTTGGGGGGCTGTGCCTTGACTCGGTAGATTATAGATTTTATTTTTGTAATGTGACTTTTGGCAGGGGACGGAGCCTCACGTGGTCGTGTTTATTCCCCCCCCGCCTTTAAATTTGTAGAAAATCCAATTTTTATGGTGGTGGTTGAGTCCTGGAGAGACGCTGGGATTTCAGGGAGTGAAATGGTAAAAATCCCCCCGTTGCTGAAATGAATTTGGGGTTATTGGCTTGGAGAACCCGAGCTGGGTTGGCTCTCATCCCTCGGCATTCCTGCGTCACGGGGATGTGAGGAGGTGCCGATGCTTCCCTCCGTGCCCGACTTCACCTGGAATGCTTAATTTTTGCATTTTTTACATTTACATTAAAAATTTTTACATAGCTCTGATACAGAGCTATGCCATCAATAGATTTGTATACATATAAATACATTTGGATAAGGAGCTGGCTGGAAAACCCCTGGGACATCTGGCCACGGGAAGTTGGGAAGGGAATTCCTCGAGGGGTGCTGCTGGCAGAGGGCTTGTTTCTGTTTCTCCGAAGGCAGGAATTAAATGTGACAGTGGTGGGAAGGAGCCTGAATCCTGCCCAGCCCATCGATTCACCTCCCACGGGTTTGAAATCAGCCCTTCTGCTGCCATCCCAATGGTCTGGGCTTAGGAATTATCCAACAGCCTCACAATTTTTTGTTTTCCCTTGTATATGTTGGATTGTGCCTTGGGGAATTAAAGAAAAAGAAATCACTTTATAGTTTAATCAGTACTTATAATTTTTAGATTCTTTAAAAATTTATTTCAAACTCAGCAGGAGTAGGGAATACTTTTTTTATTTGCTCAGAGCAATCCCACTCCAAGAGTATTTTGCTTTTGGCTGTAGGGGAACCAACAGCATCTTCCCCCTTAAAGATTGGTTGTGTATTCCTAAAATCTTTAAAAATCATGTTAATGGAAAAGAAAGATAGAAAAGAAAAAACACACAAAGTTATATAAAGAAAGAGCATTTTAGAAAAATAAAAATGTGAAAAATGGGAAGTAAAACTCAGCTAACCTGGGGCTGACTTGTATACAAGAATTGTATTAATATGAGGAATTTAACAAAGTAGCAGAGCTCCAGTTGTTGTCCCCATGCCAGTCAAATTTGGGGGGTTTTGGTTGTGAAGGTGCCTTTTAAGAAAGGAAAGCACGAGGGAGAGGTGCAGAGCAGTGAGGGGAGCCTGGAAATCACTGTAATATTAAATGGTTATATACAAATACCTCATTGTGTCTAAAACTCGGGTGGTTTTGTCCCAGGTCAGGGTGGCTGGAAGGGGAGAGGTGCCGGTGCCTGCCCGAGTGGCTTTGCTGGGGGTGGTTTTATGGCACTTTCTCCTGTTTCAGAAAGAATTACCCTTAAATAATTCTCTTTTGAGCATCAATTCAATTCTCATTTCTGCGTGGTTTTGCTTTATTGGTTATTTTACTTATTTCCCCGTGTTTTTCAACCCAGAAATTTTGGTGATGTTAAATCTTGGGATGAACACCCAGGCCCTTTGTTCTTCCTCTGGACACCCCATCTTTGATTTCCTTATCAATAATTACTTGTCGTTAGTGCGCTGCTTAATTAGCAGAGAGGAATTCCCGTTGCTTTGGCAGGAAAAGCCCCGGGAACCTCCGCACGTGTGTCTGGAAATGCTCAGGGGGAGCAGAAAATTGACTTTGGGGCGCTAGGAGTGGGGCTGCTCTCAGACCTAGTCCTGTATCCTTAAATAGATACATTTAAAAACTTTTAATGTGTTACATATTGATACAAATGAATAATGTGTGCTGGTGTGTTTGAAGTATTTGTTATCTTTTATGTAGATGTAAATAAAAGATATTACATGTATAAAGACACTATATAAAAGGTACTTATGTATATATTTTATAAGTATAAAAATATACTTCTAATACATTTTTTTTCTATGAGATATATGGACTAGATGAGCACTAAAGTTCAAACCCAAACTATTCCATGATTCTATATTTATGTGTGTGTATATAAAACATTTATATAAAGATATTAAATTGCTTAAAATACACAAAATATCCCTATGTAGTATATAAAATTTTATAAGACATATTTATGTACAAAAAGTGAATTTTTATATATATATTTATATATAGACATACGTAGGAAGTTGCCAGGGCAATGTTGGTCACATCCAGGATGGGAAACCCCCCTCCTGCTGCCCACTGGATGCGTGCCCAGTTTCCCATAGGTCTGGGATGCTGTTCCCAATGGAGCTGGCCAGGAGAATCCCCTTGGAACTGATCCTTTCCCAGACTCCAGTGCTGGCTCTGGACAGGGGTGATGCCAGTGCTTTTTATTTTATTTTATTTTATTTTATTTTATTTTATTTTATTTTATTTTATTTTAATATACAGGTGTGGGTGAACTGGGAGTTGGTGGTGTTTGAGTTTTGGTTTTCTTTAGATTCTTTTCCATGTGGGTCTTTGTTTCCATTAATACTTTATCCTTTCTTTCCCCTGTTTTCTTCCCCCATTTCCTTTCCCTGCTTTCTTTTCCCCCCCTTCTTTTTCGTCCCATTTTCCCCCCTCTTTTTTCCACCTCTTTCTTTCCTCCTTCTTTCCCCCCATTAATTTCTTCCTGTTTCTTCCTCTCCTCTTCTTTCCCCTATTCCTCCCCTCTTCTTTCCCACAGCTTTCTTTTCTCCCTCTTCTTTTCCACCTTCTTTTCCCCTTCATTGCCCCACCTTCTTTTCCCCTTTCTTTTTTCCTGTTTTTTCTTCCCCCCTTTACTTTTTCTCTCTTCTTTTCCCCTTTCCTTCTTCCCCCTCTTCTCCCCCTCTTCTTTCTCCCCTCTTCTTTTCCTGTTCTCCTTTCCTCCCTCTTCTTTTCCCCTTTCATTTCCCCCTTTTCCCCCCCTTCCTTTCCTCCTTCTTTTCATCCTTCTTTTCCCCTATCTTTTATCACCTTTCCTTCTTTTCCCCCTCTTCTTTTCCCTCTTCTTTTTTTCCTTCATTCCCCCTTTTTCCCCCACTTTCTTTCCCCCTCTTTTTCTTTTTTCCCCTTTTTTCTTCCCCCCCTTTCTTTCTCCCTCTTATTTTCCCCTTTCCTTTCCCCCCTTTTCTCCCCCTCTTCTTTTCCTCCTCATCTTTCCCCTTCTTCTTTCCCCCTCTTCTTTTCCCCTTTCATTCCCCCTTTTTTCCCCCTCTCTCCTTTTCTCCTCTCTCCTTTTCCCCTCTTCTTTTCCCCCTTCTTTTTCCCTCCCTTCCCCCTTCTCCCCACCTTCCTTTCCTCCTTCTTTTCCCCTTATCTTCATCCCCTTTCCTTCTTTTCCTTCTTCTTTTCCCCTTCATTCCCTCTTTCCACCCCACCTTCTCTTTCCCTCTTTCTTTCTTCCCCCCCTTTTTTCTTCCCCCCTTTTTCTCCCTCTTATTTCCCCCTTTCCTTTCTCCCATCTTCTTTTCCCCCTCATCTTTCCCCTCTCTCCTTTCCCCCTCTTCTTTTCCCCCTTCTCTTTCCCTCCCTTCCCCCTTTTCCCCCACCTTCCTTTCCTCCTTCTTTCCCCCTTCTCTTTTAACTTCCTTCCTTCCTTCCTTCCTTCCTTCCTTCCTTCCTTCCTTCCTTCCTTCCTTCCTTCCTTC